CCTGTCTCGGCCTCCCACAGTGCTGGGATTACAGGCTTGAGCCACCGCGCCCGGCAAAGATTATTTTTTAACAGCTTTAGAGATATTTGAATCTGGGCTACATGTTACAATGTACTATTGCAAAAGTTCCTAAATTTGGTGATTATATTGTGATTTTATATATATAGTTAGAGATAAACTTATTCTCTAAGCATTTAATGCTTTTTCCCTGTAAGCACTGCTTAGATGCTTTTGTCAACATTTTGAAATGTTGGTTTTCATTTTCATTAAATGTAAAATATTTTCTAGGCCAGGCGCAGTGGCTCACACCTGTAATCCCAGCACTTTGGGAGGCCAAGGTAGGCAGATCAGTTGAGGTCAGGAGATTGAGACCAGCCTGGCCAACGTGGTGAAACCCCATCTCCACTAAAATACAAAAATTAGCTGGCTGTGCTGGGACATGCCTGTAATCCCAGCTACTTGAGAGGCTGAGGCAGGAGAATCACTTGAACCCAGAAGGCAGAGGTTGCAGTGAGCTGAGATCAGGCCACTGCACTCCAGCCTGGGCAACACAGTGAGACTCCATCTCAAAATAATAATAATAATAATACAATAAAATAAATAAGTAAATAAAAATATTTTCCAGTTTGTTTTACTTCCTCTTTGACCTATAATTTAGAAGGATAGAAATATGTTCTTTAATTTCCAAATATTTGGGACTTTGCAGATATCTTTCTGTTATTGATTTCTAGTTTGCTTCTATTATGGTTAGAGAATATGCTTTGTTGTTTTTCCATCTGGCGACAGCCATCAAATAAGCCGAGATGGGTGCATACAAGTACATCCAGGAGCTATGGAGAAAGAAGCAGTCTGATGTCATGCATTTCTTCTGAGGGTCCGCTACTGGCAGTACCGCCAGCTCTCTGCTCTCCACAGGGCTCCCTACCCTACCTGGCCTGATAAATCGTGACAACTAAGCTACAAGGCTAAGCAAGGTTATGTTATGTATAGGGTTTTCGTGTTTGCTGTGGTGGCCGAAAACGCTCAGTTCCTAGGGGTGCAACTTACAGCAAGCCTGTCCATCATGGTGTTAACCAGCTAAAGTTGGCTCGAAGCCATCAGTTTGTTGCAGAGGAGTGAGTTGGACGCCACTGTGGGGCTTTAAGAGTCCTGAGTTCTTACTGGGTTGGTGAAGATTCCACATACAGATTTTTTGAGGTTATTCTCATTGATCCATTCCATAAAGCTATCAGAAAAAATCCTGACACCCAATGGATCACCAAACCAGTCCGCAAGCACAGGGAGATGCATGGGCTGACATAGGCAGGCCGAAAGAGTCGTGGCCTTGAAAAAAGGGCCTTGAGTTTCACCACACTATTGGTGGTTCTCACCAGGTAGCTTGGAGAAGGCTCAATACTCTCCAGCTCCACCGTTATCGCTAATAAAAGTAAAGTTTGTAAAATTCATACCTAATAAACAATTTAAGACAGTGAAAAAAAAAAAAGAGATGATTTTTGTATGATTTCATTTCTTTTCATTTTGTTAATATTTGTTTCATAGCCTAGAGTGTGACCAGTTGGATGATGGTCCATGTGCACTTGAGTGGTATTATGCTGTTGTTGGGTAGAATGACCTAAATGTCAGGTCAGGTTGGTTGATAATGTTTTACAGGTGTTAGTGATTTTTCTGTCGACTTTTTTATTGATTGATGAGTGAGGAATTGAGTTTTCTACCATAATTGTGGCTTTGTCTATTTCTCCTTCAGCTTTGTTAATTTTTGCTCCATGTTTTTTGGCTTTATATGTTTTGAAGCTCTATCAGGTGAATAACCTGACCTAGATTCACCAGTTGTCATTCTGCTACATTTGCTTTTTCATTCTCTCATACATACATACTGACATACATACTGTTTTGAACCATTTGGGAGTCTTTGATTCATGCCCCTTTAATCCTAAATACTTGAGTCTGTTTATTTATTTATTTTTTTGAGTCGGAGTCTCTCTCTGTCACCAGGCTGGAGTGCAGTGTCACGATCTCAGTTCACTACAGCCTCCGCCTCCCAGGTTCAAGCGACTCTCCTGCCTCAGCCTCCCGAGTAGCTAGGACTACAGGTGCATGCCACCACGCCCAGCTAATTTTTGTATTTTTAGTAGGGATGCGGTTTCACCATGTTGACCAGGCTGATCTTGAACTCCTGATCTAGTGATCCACCCACCTCAGACTCCTAAGGTGCTGTGATTACAGGCTTGAGCCACTGCACCTGGTCAAGTCTTTCTTTCATTCCTTTTTTTTTCTGAGATGGAGTCTTGCTCCCTGGTTGGAGTGCAGTGGCCCGATCTCAGCTCACTGCAACCTCCACCTCCCGGTTGCAAGTGATTCTCCTGCCTCAGCCTCCTGCGTAGCTGGGACTACACGCACCTGCCACCACGCCTGGCTAATTTTTTGTATTTTTAGTAAAGATGGGGTTAGCCAGGATGGTCTCGATCTGTTGACCTCATGATGTGCCCCCTTGGCCTCCCAAAGTGCTGGGATTACAGGCTTAGCCACAGCACCTGGCCTGTTTCTTAAGAATGAGGACATTCATTTACATGATCACAGATTACCAATATCAGGAAAATTAACATTGATATAATGGTATTATGTAATCTACAGGTCTAATTTCTCTCGTACAGCCTTTTCTTTTTCCTGATACAGGATCCAGTGCAGGATTGTGTATTGCGCATAGTTTTCATGTATTTTTTATCTACTTTATTCTGCAGCTACTCCTTGCTCTTTGTGTTCAGTGACATTAATATTTTAATTTTGTTTGATATTTACTGATGATTTGTTTCAGATTATGCCTTTTTTTTTTTTTTTTTAGAAATACCACATCAGTGGTATTCATTTCAAAAGCATCACTCAAGGAAGGAGGGGGGTGCTGTCAGTTTGTCACTAATGGCAGGAAAGGCAGATTTTGTCACCAGCAACTGTGACTGGGTAGGAATTCCAGGCTTCAGTTCGTTTAGCATTTATTAATTTGGCATTCAGCAGATATTTCTTGAGTGCCTTTTTGGCTTAGACCCTGTACTAAGATACAGTGGTGAAAGGATGTAATGTCTTTTCATGGAATTTAAAGTTTAGTGTTGAGTATAGACGTTAAGCAAATAATCACACCAATAATTAATTTCAGTGGTTCCAAGTGACTAAAGGAAAAACGAGGTATCAAAAGGGGTATGTGCAGTAGGAGAGCTGAATCTAGAGTTGAGGTTGGAAATGGGCATGAAGAAGAAGGCAGAGGCTTTCTTTGTGTGGCTGCTCTAGTGATTAGAAACAGACATTCCATAGTGGAATGCTGGGTGCCATTTGCTGCAGGGATAGATCTAACTCTTGCACAATTGTAGTTGTCTGACTTGCCAGGAGCAAGCTTGACCTAAGGCAACTTAATCTCAGGATGGTCTGGGAGCTTAGATTCTAGCAATTTAAGCAGCTTGGTGATAAGCTTTTTCTTCTTTTTTTCCGTTGTTCAGTTTTACTTTGAATTCAGAAGGCTATAATAGAAGACCAGGTGGCCGTCGCCATAGCAAAGGTAATCCAGAGAGTTCTTTCATGTGGAAACCTCAGGAACCCGCTGTAACAGAGATGATTTCTGAAGAGAGTGGCAAGGGTCTGAGGCGCCCCCATTGTACTGTGGAGGAGGTAAGCATTGTTAGCTTGATTTCTTTAAAACAATATTTTACAGCTCTTCCTAACCAACTCAGAATGGTTCAACATTTGACATACCATTGTAGGTTTTCCTGTAATAGAGCCTCTAACAAAATGAGGCTGTCTCAAACCCAAATGCACCAAAAATCTACATGTGGCGTCTGCCCAGGTAGACTTTGAGGGGTTCGTACTATGAGACCTAAAGTTCTTATGAGATTGTCCAGAACATAGCAGGGCCTTAGTGGCCATGTGTGCCAAATGTGTGCATGACAGGATCAAGCATGTTGCCTATCAGGGAGCTGAAAACTGTTGTGAAAGTGTTGAAGGCACAGACACAGCACTCAGACAGCTAAATTTAAAAATGAAACTTTTTTGAGTAATAAAAATCATAAGACTAAAAAGAATTTCTAATGAATATTTTTGGGAGCAAATAATATATCAATTATGTTATATATTTCTTTTTTGCTTTTTTTTTTTTTTNTTGAGATGGAGTGAGACTCTGGAGTACACCCATGTTGGAGTGCAGTGGCACAGTCTTGGCTCACTGCAACCTCTGCCTCCCATGTTCAAGCATATGTTATATATTTCAAAAGGTACCAAAGTATGTACAGTGGCTAAGTTTCCCAGACTCTCTTCCATACCTGGCTTCCATCACCATGTTTACTACTTAGCAAGTAACCTCTGATACCTGTATGTATCCTCCTACAGATGTTCTATACACATATAATTTAGTCAATATTTAGATGTCTTTTTTTTTTTCTCATCTGTCTGTGACCCTGAAAATGTAGTTATTTTTATCATAAGGAAGAAAAAGGAGTCATATTAGGAAGGGATAGGATTAGTCGGGGTTTTTTTTGTTTGTTTTTGAGACAGGGTTTTGCTCTTGTTGCCCAGGCTGGAGTGCAATGGCGTGATCTCAGCTCACTGCAGCCTCCACCTGCCAGATTCAAGCAATTCTCCTGCCTCAGCCCCTCTAGTAGCTGGGATTACGGGTATGCGCCATTATTCCTGGCTAATTTTGTATTTTTAGGTTTTCTCCATGTTGGTCAGGCTGGTCTCGAACTCCTGACCTCAGGTGATCCACCTGCCTTGGCCTCCCAGAGTGCTGGGATTACAGGCATGAGCCACCACACCCAGCCAAGATTAGATTCTTTTTGGCTACCTAAATTAGTCTAACCTGCTTTTTAAAAAAAATTTACCAAGTTATTTATCTATATGGAGAGATGGGGTCTCGCTATGTTGCCCAGGCTGGTTTCAAACTCCAGTCTCAAGCAATCGTCCGGCCTTGGCCCCCTAAACTGCTGGGATTACAAGTGTGAGCCATTGCATCCAGCCCTAACTCGTTTCTTTTTACAAACTTTAATAACTGTGACTAAGGAAGGGAAGTAAATTGAGTGCATTTCTGCTTTTTCTGTCACATTTCAGAGTACTCAGCATGATGAAGAGTCAATCTTTTTACTTTCCGTTTGAGTATTTCCATTATTCCAGGAAAATTTAGAATTATTCCTGTATCTGGCACTCCCCAGGACCATTAGCTATTTCAGTTTGCTAACTAGTTTTCTGAGCCACATGTTTAATTTAGTTCATCAGAGAAATACTTATTTGGGTCCCAGGTACTGTGCTAGTTGTCAGCAATTCAAGATTAAATGAAATGCGGTTCCTGCCCCTCCAGGAGCTTATACATAAATAGTTGCTATTCAATAAGCAGGCAGAGAGAGGAATGGACCAGAGCCCTGAAAGGGGTTTTAAGATGAGGTGTTAAAAATTTCAGTCTCAGGCCAGGTGCGGTGGCTCACGCCTATAATCCCAGCACTTTGGGAGGCCGAGGCGGGTGGATCACGAAGTCAAGAGATCGAGACCATCCTGGTCAACATGGTGAAACCCCGTCTCTACTAAAAATACAAAAATTAGCTGGGCATGGTGGCGCACGCCTGTAGTCCCAGCTACTCGGGAGGCTGAGGTATGAGAATTGCTTGAACCCAGGAGGCGGAGGTTGCGGTGAGCCGAAATCGCGCCATTGCACTCCAGTCTGGGTAACGAGTAAAACTCCATCTCAAAAAAAAAAAAAAAATTTCAGTCTCTTAGATGAGAAATCAAAAATGGGACTGAGCAGTTATCTACAGGGGAATATGTAGAAAATACACTCTAGAAATATTGGCAGGTAGTATTAGCAAGGACATGTCTGTTGATTAAGTGTAATATAAAGTAGAGAGGAGAGTCTGAGTCCCAGATTTCAGTTTTGGGAATCACTTTGTGTTACCAAGATAACCCTATGTTCATGGGGAAGATGATGACTCCAGTTTTGGATATTGTTTAAACTCCCTGTGAAACCCACAAGAAAACCTTTCCTGGAGGGTGGATATAAGTGATGAGAATTTTGAGGAGGAGACACATTTCTGAATCTTTAACCTACTGATGTTATTTAAATCAAGGGAGGTGATGAGATTATTTAGGGAAGGAATGTAGTGCAAGAAGAGATACGGGCAAACCCACTAGTATGTAGGTAGAAGGAATAATCTGCAGTGGAGACAGAAAGAATCAGAAGAGCTTATTGTCTAGGAAGGCAAGGCAGGTCAGCATGGTGAAATGCTGAAGAGAGATCAAGTAACTTAAGGGCTGAAAAAGTGTCTATGAATGTGGCCATAGATGGTTGCAGGTGATGTTGGTGAGGCCAGTTCACTTTGGAAGCTACATATTCTTGGTATGATTTCTGCTGAGTTTTTTTTGTAGTTAACTTAATTCTATTCATCCCAGTTCTGTCAAAAACCTAGATGCCATCAGAATCTAGCAGTTAGCATGAGTAAAGTGGGCTGGAGAGCAGTGGCCCATCTGAACGAGATAGCCCTGCATAGCTATAGATTGTGGACTCCCAAAGGAGGCCAGATTTTTTGATTTTTAAAAACATGTATAAAGCTAGTAATTCAGAGAAATATTAAAGACACAGTGTTGGAAAGAAAACACATCTATGGGCTACATTTTGTCTTTTAATTATAAGTTTAATATGCTGGTGCTTATCTAACATGCTTTCTTTTATTTAGGGTGTTCAAAAAGAGGAAAGAGAGAAGTACCGAAGGTTATTGGAACGACTTAAAGAAAGTGGTCATGGAAACTCTGTCACATGTCCTGTGACTTCAAATTATCACAGGTGAAAATGAGCTAACAGATAATGCTTTGCTAGACACCTTTTTGTTTGTTTTGGAGAAGGTATTGGTGGGAAGGGCCTTATTTGAAAGAAGAAGTTAACCCTGAGAGAACTAGCCCCGTCATTTGCCTTTATATTTATCTAGTAACGGGTAATATGTAACAGAGGTTTTGCAAAGTAAAATTTTATGTTACCTTTAGGACCCTTTGTTCAAGTAAACTGTTACTTGAAACTCTTACATAACAAAGTGGCTCACTGGTTGAGGTAGAGCTATCAGGAGGCAGGGTTTCTTCAACCTCCTCAGCATACATTTCCCACAGTCTCTCTCTCTACCTCTCTTCCCCACCCCCTCCTGCCCATCTCTCCATCTCTCCCATCTCCCTTCCTTCCTTCCTTTCTCCTTCATCTCCTTATGGTCCTTTGTCTTTTTTCCTTTCCCCTTCCTCACCGCCACCCCATGAGACACACCTAGTCCCTGCAGCATCATGGAGATTGAATCTTAGCACATTTGGAAGTCCGCTAGAGGCAAGATTAAAGTCTCCTAGGTCATAAGAATTATCCTTATAATATGGCTTGTTAATTAAATACTCTAATGATTTGAGCAAATATTAATAGATGAGAGTGGCAGAAGTGATAGCTGGCCTTGCATTTGTCTGTGAAAGGAGGACAAAAAAATCTGTGAGCTCAGAATTGAGGTACACTAGGTCATTCTAACAAGTGGAGCAAAAATACACAAGGATCCCAGAAATTATATAATAGCAAATTGAAGGTTAAAAAGTCACAATACTATTTAACTTTTAATTTTTGAGATGGAGTTTCACTCTTGTTGCCCAGACTGGAGTGCAATGGCACAATCTTGGCTCACTGTAACCTCTGCCTCCCAGGTACAAGCAATTCTCCTGCCTCAGCCTCCCGAGTAGCTGGGATTACAGGCATCCACCACCATGCTCAGCTAATTTTTTGTATTTTTACTAGAGACATGGTTTCACCAGGCTAGTCTTGACCTCCTAACCTCAGGTAATCCACCCACCTTAGCATCCAAGAGTGCTGGGAGGATTATAGGTGTGAGCCACTGCACACGGCCTACCACTGCACCAGTAATACCAGCTGCTTGGGAGGCTGAGGCAGGAGAGTCGCTTGAAGGTGGAGGTTTCAGTCAGCAGAGATCACACCACTGTACTCCAGCCTGGGCAACGGAGCGAGACTCCATCTCAAAAAAAAAACCAAAACAAAGTTCCTGCTTGTAATGTATTGTTTCAGGGCCATTTAAATATGTAGCTTAAAAAGTTTTTTATCGGGGCCGGGTGCAGTGGCTCACGCCTGTAATCCCAGCACTTTGGGAGGCCGAGGCGGGTGGATCACGAGGTCAAGAGATCGAGACCATCCTGGTCAACATGGTGAAACCCCATCTCTACTGAAACTACAAAAAATTAGCTGGGCATGGTGGCGCGTGCCTGTAATCCCAGCTACTCAGGAGGCTGAGGCAGGAGAATTGCCTGAACCCAGGAGGCAGAGGTTGCGGTGAGCCGAGATTGCGCCATTGCACTCCAGCCTGGGTAACATGAGTGAAACTCTGTCTCAAAAAAAAAAAAAAAAAAAGTTTTTTATCTTTTAATCTGAGTTTTATCACACTGAGATTGTTCAGTTAAGGTGTCACTGGGGATTTAGAACCTCTGATTTTACAAATAGAGAAACTTGGGGATAGGTAACTTGGCTTAAATATTAGAATCAGGATTAGATTCCTGGTATCCTAGTCCCAGATAGTAGCTTCCTTTCTGTCATAATTTGATATAATAGGGTAATTAATAACCCCTATTTGGAGAAGCTTGGTGGACAGAGATAATGCATATTATGGTAGACTTTGCTTTTGTATCTGATATCCCTCACTTTTTGTGTTTTTAAGTTCTCAAAGAAGTCAGATGGACACATTAAAGACCAAAGGCTGGGGGGAAGAGCAAAATCATGGAGTCAAAACAACACAATTTGTTCCAAAACAATGTGAGTTCCCAGATTTAGCCTTGTCTTAATATATTGACCTTAGTTCATGTTAGAGTGTTCATGTGAGGTAGAAAATGGTATACCAAAATACTGTCAAATCTCGCAGCATTGGGCCAGGCGTGGTGGCTCATGCCTGTAATCCCAGCACTTTGGGAGGCCAAGGCAGGTGGATCACCTGAGGACAGGAGTTTGAGACCAGCCTGGCCAACATGGTGAAACCCCATCTCTACTAAAAATACAAAAATCAGCCAGGCGTGGTGTCACTCGCCTGTAGTCTCAGCTACTCAGGAGGCTGAGGCAGGAGAATCGCCCGAACCTGGGAGGTGGAGGTTGCAGTGAGCTGAGATCACTCCACTACACTCCAGCCTGGGTGACAGAGTGAAACCGTCTCAAAAAAAAAAAAAAAAAATCTAACAGAATTGACAGGGGGCTTATCTAGGAGTTTAGTAAAAAAGTTGTTTCAAGATGAAGTAGATTCATAAAATGACTCTGAACTATTATTCCTAAGCTCCTATATAGTAGCAAATGTTTTGTGAGCTGAAATTTTATTATATTCTTTATAAATCAATTTCCTTCTATTTCTCCACTGACGGTCCACTAAATGACAGCTTACCAAATGAGCAGATGTCACTCAGTTTATAGTAAAGATTATATTTAAAGAGCAAAGAGATACAGACTTTTTTTTTAGGCAACTTAGTTTATAAGGAGGCTAGTATCTTTGGAATTCACTGTAGCATTTCATTGTTGAAGAATTGCCTTGATATTGTGGAAACTCGGTAAGCTGAAATTCTGACTATATTATTAATTAATGAAGGAAACATTTAATCTTTTCTTTGCCATCCTCACAGATAGACTTGTTGAAACAAGGGGACCTCTATGTTCATTGAGAAGTGAAAAGAGGTACATTCAGTTCATTCTACACTTTCATATATATTTTCTTTATCAGCTGTATTTATGAGTAAGTAGTTCTGAGGAATTGTGAACTCTTTTCATTTCTGGTAGTTGGTCAGCATATATGAGTAGATAGGTAGCTAGCTCTTGGGTCAGATGCCCACCCTACCTTGGTGGGTTGGGGGGTGCCCTTTATCTCCCAGGCATCAGGGGTTGGGAGAAACGCATGATTCTTAGATAGGAGTGTGGGTGGAGTGGGGATATCTAGAGATCTGTGTCTTTAGGATAAGAACAATAAAGGCGGCCGGGCGCGGTGGCTCAAGCCTGTAATCCCAGCACTTTGGGAGGCCGAGGCGGGTGGATCACGAGGTCAAGAGATCGAGACCGTCCTGGTCAACATGGTGAAACCCCATCTCTACTAAAACTACAAAAAATTAGCTGGGCATGGTGGTGCGTGCCTGTAATCCCAGCTACTCAGGAGGCTGAGGCAGGAGAATTGCCTGAACCCAGGAGGCGGAGGTTGCGGTGAGCCGAGATCGCGCCATTGCACTCCAGCCTGGGTAATAAGAGCGAAACTCTGTCTCAAAAAAAAAAAAAAAGAACAATAAAGGCAGTTCAGCATACCTTAGGATTTTTGGATGATAGTTTATAGCAGAGTTTGTAAATTACAGCCTATGGACCAAATCTGGTCTACTTGCCTATTTTTGTATAGTACATTTCTATTGAAGTGTGCACATTCATTTACATACTGTCTATGGCTGCTTTTAAATTACAGTGGTAGAATTGCCACGATATGCCCAAGACCATAAAACCTGCCAAGCCTAAAATACTGTCTGTGCTTTTTCAGAAAAGTTTGTTGGCTCTTGATTTAGAGTATTATATAAAAAGGCAATTTTTATTTACAGATTATGAAATCTTATTTCTAAATCTAGGATGTGCTAGGTTTGAGTCATCTAGCAGAAATCTATCATCTCTCAATTATTTTCCTTAGGTGTTCAAAGGGGAAAATTTCTGATACAGAAAAGATGGTTGGACTCAGATTTGAAAATGAAAGTGTAAGTAGAAATCCTAGTTAAATCTGATATCCATAGGCCAGGTGCATGGCTCACGCCTGTAATCCCAACACTTTGGGAGGCCAAAGCAGGACATTACCTCAGGTCGGGAGTTTGAGACCAGCCTGACCAACATGTAGAAACCCTGTCTCTACTAAAAATAAAAAAAGTATCCAGGCATGCCTGTGGCACATGCCTGTACTTCCAGCTACTTGAGAGGCTGAGGCAGGAGAATCGCTTGAACCCAGGAGGTGGAGGTTGCGGTGAGCCGAGATTCTCTCATTGCACTCCAGCCTGGGCAACAAGAGTGAAACTCCGTCTCAAGAAAAAAAAAAAATTAGATATCCATTTACTTACATAACTTATGTTTTGGTACCCATGAAAAAGAAGAAAAATTTTATATATATTACTTGGATTGTTACTTCTGTTGTTTTCTTTAAGAAAGCAGTAAGCCAGCCAGGCACAGTGGCTCATGCCTATAATCCCAGAACTTTGGGAGGCCAAGGCAGGAGGATCTGGAGCCTAGGAGTTTGAGACCAGCCTGGGCAACATAGTGAGACTGTCTTAAAAATTAGCCAGGCATGATGGCACATCTGTAGTCTCAGCTACTTGGGAAGCTAAGACAGGAGGATCGCTTGAGCCCAGGAGATCAAGGCTGCAGTGAGCTGTGATCACACCACTGTACTCCAGCTTGAGTGACAGAACGAGACTGTCTCTTTAAAAAAAAAAAAAAAAAAAAGCAAGTATTGAAAATATACAACCTTTTTCTTCTTTCTGAGTTGCTGGAGTTTTGCCTCTGTACAGTAGCCACCTTTGTTTATGAGAGATGAACCTACCTCCATACCAACACTTTACCTACATTTTATGGCTTCTTATGGAGAATTTCTTAAAAATCATACATCTCTGATAATGCTTTAGGGTGCTGGCAGAATTCTATTTGTTTACCACAATGGTGGTTATATAGGTGTTCATTTTACAAAAATGAATTAAGTGGTACATTAATGTTTTGTGCATTTTCTGTAATATAAAATGACTTCTTACAAGGATAAGCTAGAACCAAGTTTAGTTAACATAAAGATAGTAGGGATTTGTTCTGAGGGTGGGATTGTGGGTCATATTTTTTGCTATTTAAAACTTTCAAAATAATCTTTTAAACATACTATTTTTAATTATGATAGGAGAACTGAAAATACTTTTCTTGCTCCTTCCAGGGAAGGTGGTGAGTGTTCTGTTTCATGGTTTGTAACTGAGGTATCCTGTGAGTCTTAGGTCTGGAGTTTTTTTGTTTCCCCTTGCAGGGACAGGCAGATATGATAAATCTACTCATTTGGGGGATTTGCTAATTCTCTTTTCTTTCACATTACTGACAGTTTTATATTTCATGTGTTATCTGTATTTATATTAGCAAGTATCAAACATGTCAGTAGAATTTAGATGCTTTTTTGATCAGAGGAGGGGATACCAGCTGGAGCCTGACCTATCAGAAGAAGTGTCGGCCCGACTCCGCCTGGGCAGTGGAAGCAATGGCTTACTCAGGAGGAAAGTGTCAATAATTGAGACAAAGGAAAAGAATTGCTCAGGCAAAGAGAGGGACAGAAGAACGGATGATCTCCTTGAACTTACAGAGGTATTGTTCTTTGTATTGATCCTAAAAAGAGGCATGTCTTTAAATAAGCTCAGTTCTTCTAAACTTGAATGTTTTGTTTTGAAGACTTTCTCCAGGCTAAGGATGAATATATGAAAACAAATCAGGTCCATGATCTATTTATGTACTTTGGCTACACTGATCATTAGTTAGGCATGATCGTTATTGGCCTAAGGGATCAAATTGATATTCAGCAAATGTGAGTTGACACAGTCATCACATATCTTGGAATTCAACAAATTCTTTGTTGAATTCTTCAAATATGTTGAGTGAGTTATATAGTATAGGTTTGGAATTAGGAATAAGTCCACTGCATTTTTTTAAAAAGTGATTATAGTTTACTAAAATGTCCCTTTTGTTGATTATTGCATTTGAAAATAGTAAAAATTTACAGAACGTAAAGAATCAAAGTAGTTAAAATTCTTATTTTAAAGATGCACCCACATCTTGGCTTCCTCTACATTAGGAATCTAGTAGGTGATTCTCTCTTGAATACTTACTATTATATTGGGCATGCAGGTGGAGAGAGAGATCCATAAAACAGCGAAACTATGTGCAGTGGGAGGAAGCAGTAGTAAAAATATTTAGAGGAAAATAATAATAATTATTATTTTTTGAGACAGTTTCGCTGTTGTTGCCCATGTTGGAGTGCAGTGGCACCATCCTGACTCACTGCAACCTCCGCCTCCTGGGTTCAAGCAGTTCTCCTGCCTCAGCCTCCTGAGTAGCTGGGACTACAGGCACCCACCACCATGCCCAGCTAATTTTTGTATTTTTAGTAGAGAGGGGGTTTCACTATGTTGGTCAGGCAGGTCTCAAACTCCTGACCTCAGGTGACTCACCTGCCTCTCGAGGCCTCCCAAAGTGCCGGGATTACAGGCATGAGCCACCATGCCTGGCCTGGAGGGAAATAATTTTTAGTGAGTTTATAGATCTAGCTTTGTATCTTAAATAATGCATTTATCTGCATAATTCTTTTATTTTTCTTTTTTTTTGAGACAGAGTCTCACCCTGTTGCCCAGGCTGGAGTGCAATGGCATAATCTCGGCTCAATGCAACCTCTGCCTCCTGGGTTCCAGCACTTCTCCTGCCTCAGCCTCCCGAGTAGCTGGGACAACAGGAGCATGTCATCATGCCTGGCTAATTTTTGTATTTTTCAGTAGAGACAGGGTTTCACCATATTGGCCAAGCTGGTCTCAAACTCTTGACCTCATGATCTGCCTGCCTCAGCCTCCCAAATTGCTGGGATTACAGGTGTGAGCCACCATGCCTGGCCCATATTATTCCTTAGTATGTTGAAGCCATTTATTCCATAGTCAATTGCTAGACTGCTGTCTGGTTTCCAAGTTTCTGCCTGTTTGCTTATTCTCTGTCAAAAAGGATGGTATGACCCCTTAGATGTCCTAATCTTATTTTGATGTTTTAAAATTTTAAAGGAGAGGCTGGGTGTGGTGGCTCATGCCTGTAATCCCAGCACTTTGGGAGGCCGAAGCAGGCAGATTACTTGAGGTTAGAAGTTTAAGACTAGCCTGGCCAACATGGTGAAACCCTGTCTTTACCAAAAATACAAAAAATGGCCGGCATGGTGGCACATGTCTGTAAACCCAGCTAATCAGGAGGCTGAGGCATGAAAATCACTTGCATGTGGGAGGCAGGTTGTAGTCAGCTGAGATTTCCAGCCTGGGTGACACAGTGAGACTCTGTGTCAAAAACAAACCAAAAAAAGCTTAGAGTGGAAATCAGGGTTTTAGTATTATGAAAGGAGTAAAGGCCAGTAAATTAGACATACCTGGGTTCAAATCTTCATTCTACCTTTTAATAATTATATGACTTTAAATATGTAAAATAAATTCTCTGAACTTCAATTTTCTCTTCTATAAAATGGTAGTGATACCCTTCCAACAAGTAAGAATGTGTTTCAAGTATCTAACACCATGTTTGGCTTATAGTGCTTAATACCTGGTAGTAGGATAATTGAGACCATACTTTAGATGTAAATAATTATTATTATTGTTTCCACAAGCTACTAATTGAACCAGCATTTATTGTAAATATTACGAAGACTGCTTTGTAGTTATAAGTTAAAATATTTTCAGGGCTGGCGCGGTGGCTCATGCCTAGAATCCCAGGACTTTGAGAGGCCAGGACGGGTTTTGCTTGAGCCCAGGAGTTTGCAGCCAACTTGGGCAATTAATCAGGCCCCATCTCTATTAATAAAAAAATAAGGATAAATTTTTTTCATACTGTAGTTTAGTAGGTCTCTGATGGTATATTTTTCTCAAGAGTCAGGTGCTGCTGAGATGTAAAACTTTTTTCAGCTCAGATTTTTCAATAACTGATAATGGTTCTATATTAAAATAGTAACCTTTGGACTTTCTAATTCAGGACATGGAAAAGGAAATCAGTAACGCCTTAGGCCATGGCCCACAGGATGAAATCCTAAGTAGTGCTTTCAAATTGCGAATCACTCGAGGAGACATCCAGACATTAAAGAATTATCACTGGCTCAATGATGAAGTAAGTCAGATTCTCTCCCCCTTTTGGCTATCATGAAGTTTAACTATTATCTATAATCACATTGACTCCTACCCAGTTATAGGGGTTGGTAGAGTAACTTTTAGTTATAATTAAAACAAAGACATCTTAAATCTTAAAAAGCTGGTGAAATCTGATGTTCTGCCTGGAATTGGTGATGTTTCCCTTTTCTGCATTTGTACTTTGTTGCATCCACCTCTTCATTTACTAGTCTCCAATAAACCCTGGGCACAGCGGATGAATGGGAGGAAGCAGCAAGTGGTATTATATTTTAGGTGAATTCTTATAGTAGCTGCTTTATTTTTTGAGTAATAAAGGGATATGTTGATTATTATATACTGTGTGTATTTTTCTTTGTTCTTTAAGATGGAATTTTGCTCTTGTCGTCCAGGTGGAGTGCAATGGTGCGATTTTCAGCTCACTGCAACTCCAATACTGGGTTCAAGTGATCCCCCTACCTCAGCCTCCCAAGTAGCTGGGATTACAGGCACCCACCTCCATGCCCAGCTAAGTTTTGTATTTTTAGTAGAGATGGGGTTTCACCATGTTGGCCAGGTTGGTCTCAAACTCCTGACCTCAGGTGATCCACCCACCTTGGCCTCCCATTAACTGAAAAATTTTGCCTGACTTGTCTCTTGTATCCTTAATATATTTAGCAAAAGCTGGCTCTTAAGTTCTTCTTGACAATTTTCTGGTGGGTTTTTTCCCTCACTGCAGCCCCTGCATCTTCTCTCTTTGCCTCCCTTCCTGTTTCCCCTATGATTAGTTACTTATAAACAGATTCACTGAAAACAGGAATGTTTTGTTTTACAAGATAAGTGTAATTTGTTTATTGTAGAAAATTTGGAAAATACAGGAAAACTAAAAAAATGACTGTTCAAAAGTACTACCACTCAAAAATAAAATGTTAATATTTTGGTGTATGTCCTTCCAGTTAATATTTTTAAATTGAAGTCTAATTTAGATGCAGTAAAATTCACTTCCTGTTAATATTTATGCATTTTTTGGTGTGATACAATTATGTAGATCTTTTCATTATTATACAGACTTTCTTCTTGAATTCCTTCTTCCGGCTATTGTTACTCACATGCCTTAAAAGTATGGTTTCAGCCGGATGCGGTGGTTCATGCTGTAATCCCAGCAGTTTGGGAGGCCAACAGGTGGATCACAAGGTCAGGAGTTTGAGACCAGCCTGACCAATATGGTGAAACCCCGTCTCTACTAAAAATAAAAAAAATTAGCCAGGCATGGTGGCGTGTACATGTAGTCCCAGTTACTTGGGGGGCTGAGGCAGGAGAATCCCTTGAATCAGGAGTCAGAGGTTGCGTAAGCTGACAGCCTGGGTAACAGAGTGAGACTCTGTCTCAAAAAAAAAAAAAAAAGTAGTTTTCATTCCTTTTTCATGTGTCTCATTTTGCACTGATCACTTTTTTTGCTGTCATTTTCTTTAGACAGTCCTTTTATCCGCCCCCCCCCCCCTTTTTTTTTTGAGATGGTGGCGCCTGCCACCATACCCTGCTAATTGTTGTATTTTTAGTAGAGATGGTGTTTCACCATGTTGGCCAGGCTGGTCTTGAACTCCTGACCTCAGGGGAACCACCTGCTTCAGCCTCCCAAAGTGCTGGGATTACAGGCATGAGCCACCGCGCCCAGCCCTATCCTCTTCTTTAGTACCTTACCTTCAAATTTGTCCTTATTCAGGTAGAAATTTAGTTTTGATAATGTATTTGTCATGTTCCAGCTTTCACTCCCTTGGTATTTTATAGGTCATTAATTTTTACATGAATCTTCTGGTGGAAAGAAATAAAAAGCAAGGCTATCCAGCACTTCATGTATTCAGTACTTTCTTCTATCCTAAATTAAAGTCTGGGGGTTACCAAGCAGTGAAAAGATGGACCAAAGGGGTAAATCTCTTTGAACAAGAAATTATTCTGGTGCCTATTCATCGGAAGGTACATTGGAGCCTGGTGGTGAGTAGAGAAGGTTAATAGTTAATTGTTGGACTTTGAATAAAGACCATTTTTAAAAAAGAATGCTCCCCTTTTCTGCCCAGGGTATAAAGAACAGTAGTATATGTTATAAGCATACTCTGCAGAGTCTCCTTATTTTTTTCTTAATGCCCCCGCCTTCACCCAAACCTTTTTAGTTCTTTATTTATTATTTAAAAAATTTTTTTACTATTTTTTAAAATGAGAGACCAGGCTTCGCTCTGTTGCCTAGGTTGAAGTGAATTGGTGTGATCATAGCTCATTGTAGCTTGGAACTCCTGGACTCAAGCGATCCTCCTGCCTTAGCCTCCTGAGTAACTAGGACTATAGTCATGGTCCACCATGCTTGGCTAATTTTATTTATTTATTTATTTATTTGGCAAGATGGAGTCTTGTATGTTGCCCTGGTTGGTATCCAACTCCTGGCCTCAAGTGGTTCTCTTGCCTCAGCTTTGCAAAGTGCTGGGATTACAGGTGTGAGCCACCATGCATAGCCTTTATTATTTTTATTTTTTTATTTTTAGAGACAGGGTCTCATTCTGCCACCCAAGCTGGAGTGCAGTGGCACAACCATAGCTCACTGTAACCTCAGCCTCCTGGGAACAAGTGATTTTCTTACTTTGGCCTCCCAGGTACCTGGGACTACGGACATGCACAAGTATGCCTGGTTAATTTTTTTTAATTATTATTTTTTTGTGTGTGGAGACAGAGTCTCTAGTCTTGAGCTCCTGGCTTTAAGCAGTCCTTCCACCTCAGCCTCAGAATGATGGGTGAGCTACTGTATCTGGCCTCCTTTTTAGTTCTTGAGTTGAACAACTTAGAAGGCCAGAAGACAAAGTCCTTGTACTTGAGTACCTTTCATTTTTAACAGGAAAAAGTCTTAGTACACATAAGGGTTATTTATTTATTTTTGTTTATAAGATAGTATAGGTTTATTGAAAAAAAAAAAATGCAGATATAAAGCCAGGTGTAGTGGCTCATGCCTATAATTCCAGACTTTGGGAGGTCGAGGCAGGAAGGGTTGCTTGAGCCTAAAAGTTTGAGACCAGCCTGGGAAACATGGCAAGACCCTGTCTATACAAAAATTAAATAATTTGCTGGGCATGGTGGTGCATACCTGTGTCCCAGCTACTTGGGAGACTGAAGTGGAAGATCCCTTGAGCCCGGGAGGTCGAGGCTGCAGTGAGCCGTGATCACACCACTGCACTCCAGCCTGGGTGACAGAGATCTTGTCTTAAAAAGAAAAAAGAGAACAAGAAAGAAAGAAAAGAGAAGGAAAGAAAGAAAGATACAGATATAAAGAAACAACAAAAAATCTCATCACTGAGAGGACCACTAATGTTTCAACTAAAAAATATACTTTTTACTAAAGATACGTAAGATAAATCTTTAAAAAATGTAATACATGTACCAATATAAATGGAGTTCTAGGTTACTTTTTAAGTGTAACTTAGAACTCCATTTATATTGGTACATGCATTGATATTCTAAAAGATGCTTTTATTTTTGGAAGTAAAATTCTCACTCCTCTTACATTTAAGATATTTCTGGATGTTGTCTTTCTCCATTATAGGTGATAGACCTAAGAAAAAAGTGTCTTAAATATCTGGATTCTATGGGACAAAAGGGCCACAGGATCTGTGAGATTCTCCTGTAAGTAAATGTTGAAACCTTCACTGTCGCCTCACTACCCGCTGCTGAGGTGATCTCTCTTCCATCTCATCCTAGGAAGCTGTATGGATGGTGGTCTAATGTATAGTTAAGGCTATTTCAGGGCTTAGCATGCATTTTATTTTTTTGTCTAAAAATAATAGCTGACTTCAACTGAGAAAATGTGTTTAGTACCATCACTGAAAACAAGTTTGTCATGTGTTATGATGTAAAATTGATCTTACTAGAATTCTGTGATTTGAATTAGATTTCTTTGGTATTGATACATTATTCTGAATATTCTAAGGAACTGTTAGTTGGGGAGTATTAGTCCTTAAATTCTTAGCCCACTGATATCTTTATGCTTTCCATGAGAGTTGGGTTTATCTCAGAACTCAGAGGCAGTGTTCGAAGTGTGTGGTTTGTAGGTGATTGTTTTAAATAGTAATTGCTATAATAGAGACCTGTCTTTAAAGCATAGCTACTTCTTAGCTATGTAAAGTAGTTACATGAAGTGAGAAAATGCATCAGTAAGATGGGTTCATTTTTCCTTTTGTGCTCACTAGAAGCAATGAAGTTCCTTCTTTTAACTTTAGTAAGGACAGATGAATCTTGTGAAGAAAAGTTATTAACAGTAATTCAATATTGTTTTAGTATAAAAGATTATTTTTATTTATGGTTGTTTATCTTGAATAAAAAGTATAGAGAAGAAATTTTTTTTTTTTTTTTTTTTTTTTGAGACGGAGTTTCGCTCTTGTTACCCAGGCTGGAGTGCAATGGCGCGATCTCGGCTCATCGCAACCTCTGCCTCCTGGGTTCAGGCAATTCTCCTGCCTCAGCCTCCTGAGTAGCCGCTAATTTTTTGTATTTTTAGTAGAGACGGGGTTTCACCATGTTGACCAGGATGGTCTCTATCTCTTGACCTCGTGATCCACCCGCCTCGGCCTCCCACAGTGCTGGGATTACAGGCTTGAGCCACCGCGCCCGGCTAGAGAAGAAATTTCTAAAAATCATAAGATACACCAAATTGTTTATGATTATTCTCTTCTAGTCTTTTCTTTGTATAAATTGTACACACATACATTTGTGTTCACACATATACATATATTATCCCATGTAAAGAAATGTTCTTACTGGGATCATACAGTACACTTTGATATACTGCTTATAACAGGATTTGAAAATTCATACTTTTTTTTTTTAAATTGGAGTCTGTGTCGCCCAGTGCAGTGGCGCAGTCTCAGCTCACTGCAACCTCTGCCTCCCAGGTTCAAGTGATGCTCGTGCCTCAGCCTCTCGAGAAGCTGGGATTACAGGCACACGCCAACACACCTGGATAATTTTTGTATTTTTATAAGAGACAGGGTTTCACCATGTTGGCCAGGCTGGCCTCGAACTCCTGACCTCAAGTGATCTACCTGCCTTAGTCTTCCAAAGTGCTGGGATGACAGGCGTGGGCCACTGCCCCTGGCACATTCAGACGTTTTTCTTAAGTTGAAATGCTCTGATGGTATCGGAGGCCCTGCTCCCTTTCTTGATGGTACTAGTCCAGTTTTTCTCAACGTTTTTCCTTTTTCATTTTCACCCTTGCCCCAGAGTGAAAAATTCAATTCATTTCTCTATAACAAGAGAAAATAATATCAGGGAATAAGACTTACTTGTTGAGTTGAGCTTTAGAGAGCTTTAAATCACTCTTAAGATTTTTGCCTCCCAAGAACCAGTTTTTACCACCTTGGGAGCAATATTGCACCATTGAAAATGTGTGCCATGTTCTAACGCTGGCTTATCTTACATGCACGTTAAGGATAAAAACCAAGACACTTAGGTTGTTAACCATGACAACTTTCTAGATGTGAATTTAATTAATCACTCTAAATACTTTGTATTACTCTAAGGATATGGAAATTTTTCTACATAACCACAGTGTCATTATAACACTTAAGAATATTAACACTCAATAATATGTCATATATTGTCCATATTCTAATTTCTTCAGTTATTTTATATAGCCCACCTACTCCTAGTCCAGGAGCCAGTCAGGATTCATGCATGTTCTTTTTTTTTTTTTTTTTGAGACAGAGTCTGTCTCTGTTGCCCAGGCTGGAGTGCAGTGGCACAATCTCGGCTCACCACCACCTCCATCTCCACCTCCTGGGTTCAAGTGATTATCGTGCCTCCCAAATAGCTGAGATTAAAATGCGCACCACCACGCTCAGCTAATTTTTGTGTTTTTAGTAGAGAGGGGTTTTGCCATGTTGACCAGGCTGCTCTTGAACTCCTAACCTCATGTGATCCACCCACCTCAGCCTCCCAAAGTGTTGGGATTACAGGCGTGAGCCACCGCACCAGCCCATGTGTGTTCTTTTTGAGGCGGAGTTTCACTCATGTTACCCAGGCTGGAGTGCAATGGCGCGATCTCGGCTCACCGCAACCTCCGCCTCCTGGGTTCAGGCAATTCTCCTGCC